AAAAAAAAAAAAAAAAAAAAAAAAAACCTGGAAATACCTGATAAAATGTAATATAAAGGGAAAGCAGGATCTTTGTGGTCAAAGGGAGAAATATTTGTATGGTCTTCTTCAGGGGAAAGCTATTTGAAAATCAACCTATAGATGTCTCCAAATCTTGTGAATGGTGGATGCCACTGTGGTATACAGGAATATGATCAAAACTGTCATCTACTATGTAATAAATAAAAGTAATAAAACAGCACCATCAATAATAATGCCACAAAAAGTCCAGTAAATATTATGAACAAACATTTTGTTTCTGCCAGTTAAAATTGCTTGCAAAAAGAACCATTCTGAGCTGGGACAGGAAACACCAGTTGCATCTGTGTGGAGACTATATTATACAGAGAAGGTTCTTTCCCTTTGGGCCACATAATGGCTGGCATCCTGTAAGTGACATACACTAAGTCCAAAATATGACTGCATGTGACTTGTTGTTGTTGAGATCTCTTTTTCCCTCCACAATGACCAAAGCTCAGCCCCTGGACTCACCATTTAGCCACTGCAGCACTCCCGTGACCATTCAATAGACCATTCAGCACTCCCGTGACCATTCATTGTGAGGGGGGTATTGCAGTAGCACCTGGCTATGGGGATTATCGCATTAAAAATAATGCAACTTATCTCCAACAGGATATAGTCGCATTTCAGGTTATATACGGGTATTATTGCATGTAAAATTGCCACCACTACTTGCCAACTGGAACCCAGCTGCAGTCCGAGTCCTAGCTGTGCTTAGCTGGCTGCTTTTCCAAAATGTGAGCTTGCAGTTTTGGAAAAGCAGACGGCTAAGCATGACTGGGACCCAGGATGCAGCTGGGTTCCAGTTGCCCAGCGGTGGTGGTGATTATTTTACATGTGATAATACCTGTTTATAACCTGAAACGTAACTGTATCCCATCGGAGATGTCACATTATTTTTAATTTGATAATCTCCTATGTCTCCATAACCTGATGCATAATGATTATATCATCTGCTGAGAAGTCTGGAGGATAGAAGATTATGTCATCTGTGCAGCTGGCTACAGGAACATAGCCATATGTTCTCCAATTCTCCCAACTCTCTACCAACCACTGAATGACCATGGGGTGCTGCAGAGACTAAACGGTGGGTTTGGGAGTTAAGAGGACAGACGTATAGTTCTGTCTGTGAGACTTTCATGCTACACTGTCTCATCCAATGTATTCAAAGTACTTTGAGAAGAATTAAAAAATAGTAACTGCTTGCTACATAATCTGCCCATTATCTCTCAATCTTGCCCTGGTGGCACAGTGGTTAAATGCCTGTACTGCAGCCACTCACTCATAGACCACAAGGTTGCGAGTTCAATACCAGCCAGGGCTGGGGCTCGACTCAGGCCTGCATCCTTCCGAGGTCGCTAAAATGAGTACCCAACAGTTGAGGGGCAATCAGCTCATAGTTATAAACCGCTTAGACATCCATAGCGTGATATGAAGCAGTATATAAATAAGCTGCTTTGCTTTTTTGCTTTTACTACATTTCAAGGATTACAGAAGAGGAGATGTCAACATGACAGGCCCAGACTTCTCACATTTGGTTTGTAGGGCAGACAGTTGTACAGACCTTTGCTCAAAGGCATTTTGCTTCCTGAAACAGAATGAAAATTGCAACTCTCTTCTGGTAATAGCATCACTTTTTTAAAAAACTTGCTTCATTATTCATACTCCAGTTGCTCCTTTTATTTACTGCCACAAAATTCCAGTTACTATCACTGATAGACTACACAGTCTGTTAAATCTAGTAATGTACATCTTTATTCTTGTACCCAATAATACTTTTTTTTAAAACAA